ATTCAATTTTCTAAATCATAAAGTAATCATAAAGTAATACATTATCATCAATTTAATTATTTTGTATACATTTTAAAAATCTCATAATTATAACGTAATTCATAGTTTATGGTGAGTGTTGAATATTTTTCAAATAGCATACTAGGTATGTGCATAATATAGCAGAGTGGTAAACATGGTTCTGCACATAGTCAGAAATAATAACGACACTTTATAATTATTGAATGAACATGTATAATATTATGATAATAGGTGTATTTTTCAGGACTAATATAGAAGTGACTTATCCAACGTACGATAATATCGGTTATCACAATTTACAATATAACGTTAATTATAAAATACACACAATATTATTTGCAATTGAGCATAATATTATCATTCTATTGTTGCTTTAAAACGTTTGTGTATAGGTATATCACTATAATATTCTTACCTCCAATTCCTAAAAAATAGTGAATTTTCATCAACAGGAGTTTTCTATTGACCTGGAAGTAAGTCATTTTTCTGGTTGTCACTCGTACACACTACACAGCAGGTCACAGTTATTATAATATTAGTATCGCTTATTTTAAATAGTTTAATAAATTGTTCAAACTGTTACGTGTGTCTAATATATATAATAGGTATATATATATAAACAATACTATAATTAATAATTATTATGGTGCTCGTGTTCCCGGAGAGACAGGCAAGACAGACCTAGCCCGGATGCTACTCGCCGTACACATCCTCGGTGATGATAATAACACAAAATTCAATGTTAAACTGCAGAACAAAAAAAAAAATGAAAAGTGATAACCGGACCGCCTTGGCTCGTGCTGGCAAATGTGTAAGAAAAATTAAGGAGGGCGGCCGATAATATACATAATATTATTTTTTGTGGCTCGGTGTGGTGTGGTGTGCGCATTCATTTATACGAAACCCGTTCCGAGTGTTTATGTAATAATGATCATTTTAATACTCAAATTTATACATTGACCGGGCACTCTACTAGATTGTTTGTGAAAAGATTATGAAAATAAGCAAGTCAAGTTAATTATATTAAATTGTCTTCAGAAAATATCCGTGATCCCGTGGTTATATGTATGATACATGAGTTTTCGGTGTAGTAAGACATTTCCCCACCGATATATTTTTGATGAGAACATTTCCCGCCCATTTTTTTGTTTAAAGTATACTCTTCAATAATATTATATTATTATTTGATATGATATTATTTTTTTGCCTATTGTCTAATATTTTCAAATATTTTCAAAAATATAATAAATTAGAGATGTATATTTTTGAGCAACTAAACTACCTATATAAATCAAATTTAAAATCAATTATTAAATTCAAACTGTTCAAAATCCAAATTGGTACAGTTTTATTAAAAAAAAACTAAATAAATATGAAGAAAGGCTAAAAAAGGTGGGGGCAAGTGGCAAATATTTTCAAAATTGTATGTTCTATAGAAAATGAAAAATATAAACATTGAGTAAAATTTGCATGTATCTATTTGTATGTATTCGTTTTTGAATAACAACAAAATAACAAAATCGGTAAATGAGAAATTTAGTGAATATTCAGTCTTGTGAAAATATGAATTTCAAACGCTCATAAAAATTTTATTTTATCATAATATTTTGATTTTGGAGTGAATATCCCATGTCCAACTTGAAATACTCATAAAAATATTTATTGACTTTCTGGTAATTTATTTTTTTTGTGAAACGTAGAAATAATTATTTAGAATCTTGTATAATATTATCAAATCTTAGAAAGGTATAATCCATATAGGCGAATTTTATATACATTTTTAACTTAAAATAATATTCAAATTTTCAATATCTTGATGAATTTTGTCAAAATTCTGACTTTATAGGTTTATAAAAAATTATTGATGTTGGAAACTATGAATACTACTGGACATTTTTATTTTCAAGTTTTGATCCTCCAAAGTACCAATTAAAATCAATTTCCTACCAGAAAAAATGCTTAAGTAGAAAATCGAAGTATTAATACTGCCTCAAAAGGTGATGACAGACACAAAAAAAAAACAGATTTAACTTTAAATCACAATTTAACACATCTATTACAATGACCTTTATTTAATTATTTATCATATACACACTAACTATGACTATAATAAAAACAGCCACAACAATAATAAATAAATGTTAATACTGATACAAGTCATAAGAATACTCTATAGTTATCATATAATAATAATAAAAAAATTAATAAATCACAACAATTTAATGTATAATTTGATTATCTAATCTATAGCTCTCTCTGTTAAAGACAGCAAAATAATATTATAGAATGGTATGACGGCGTATTGTGTATGCAAAATATATACACGAATGATTGTAATATTAATATTATTATTAGAGGTTTGTTGAACTCCAAAATAAGGTCTCAAACCGAACTTTTTAATAGTACTTGAATAGAACATTTTGTTCAACATCAAACCACACATGTACCATAATATATTTTATTATATTTCATTATTAAACTGAACCTAAACTAAACTTTTGAATTAAATGTCAAATCAAACTTTATCAAGTAAAACAAAATAACTAACGACTATCGAGCAAGGAGTATTACTATTAATTATAGAATTTTGAACTTTTTGCTTGAGTTCGGTTCGGTTTGATATTTTAAGCTAGGTTCGATTTTCGAACTCAAACCAAACACTTTAAGTTAGGTACTATTAACTATTTAATAACTTATTTTAATTTTAAACAATATAAACAACATAATAATAATACAAATTCAAAATCCAAAGACCTTATATTATAAGTAATTACCTAATCTTAAAATAAATGTACTTTGACTACTACTCTGATAAAACAATATATTGTTGAAAAAGGTACTACAGAATTATATTTTTTGTTACACAATGTGATTAAAACTGAATCATATAATAGTTTAAGTAATTAAAAATATAATTGTTAATTTTATCTAATTTATAATAGGTAATCATTTTGATTCACTCGATATTAATTTTGAATTACAAATGTAAGCTTAATTTTAATTTTAAATTATCAAAGAGAATATTAATTGAAATTTCAGTTTTAAAAATTGGCTCTGTTGTACAGTAAGTTACAATTGGGTCACTGTATAATGGATGGTATTAAATTTTAATTCAATGATATAATATCATTGTATAAGAAAAACGATTCTGAGCGAAAACGGTCAGTCAGCCTTAGATATTAATAAGTATACTTGATGTTATTATTATTGTGAATAAAGTGATTTGTATATTTACCTATTTACGTGGACCCTTGCTTTAAATTTTCAATCCATAGCTATAAAAGTTGAACTTTTTATAAATTTTTAACTACAAAATATTTAATACATTTTAAATATGTAAAATGTTGTCAAAATTCGAACTTTAAATGCTTATAAAAAACATTGTGCCTATGTACTTTTAATATTTTCTTGCATTAAATTTTCAAGCTTTTTTACCCAACAAATAAAGTTGTATTGATATATGTATATAGAAAAAAAACCAAGAAAATTGAAAACTGACAATGCAGTAAACAGCTCAAAAAGAGTCAACATTTTTATGGTGTATAGAAATGAAAATATAAACATTCAATAACATTTTCATGTATTTACAGTTATTCGTTTTTGAATACCAATAAAATAAAAAAATTGCTAAATGAGAAATCGAGTGAATATCCAATATTGTAAGATTATGAACTACAAACGTTCATACAAATTTAATTTGATTTGCTTGTAGACATTTTTTTTGATAAAGGTAGATAAACTTACTAGTAATCTTGTATTACATTTTCAAACTTTAGATTTAAAAAAAACAATTTTTATGAATTCTCAACTCAAAATAGTTTGCTAATTTTCGTGATTTTTCAGTATTTTTCAAGATTTGAACTTTAAATGTTTATAAAAAAAAATTGTGACCAAGGATTTTTAATATTTTTCAACTGTTATTTAACAATATAGTAGGAGCCTTGTATTACATTTTCAAGCTTTTTTACTCAACAAATAACGTTTTATTGACATTCAAAGAAAAAAAGACTAATAAAACTGAAAACTGAAATTGTTCCTAAACAGTTCAAAACAAAGAAAAATGTTTTGTAAATGTTATCGTGTATAGAAAATGCAAATATAAACTACCAGTGAAAATTTCATGTATAGAGTTCACTTGTTCTAGAGTTAAATAAAATACCAAAATCGATTTTGTGGAAAATCGGTATTGTGTACAAATTCCAGTTTTTCCTTAATTTGTATGTTGTTTTTTCCGTCACATTAGAAAACTATTAGGAAATTTAAAATTCTACCTCCAAAATGCACCAACTAGATTTAATTCCAATCGAACAAGATACTGTTGAAGAAAATTGAAGTAGTTTTAATGCCCTAAACCGTGATGACAGACACAAAAAAAAAAAAAAATAAAAGAATAAAAAAAAACACAAATCATTGTAAAATCAATACATTCATCACTTCACTCAGAATCTAAAATATCCCATATCATAAAAAAATATTTGTGGTTTGAATATTTCATTTAATAATAATATTATGTGGAATTCAAACTTTAGAAAGTTTAATTTCTTATATTACAATGTATTAAAAAATATTTCTTCCAGTGTACATTCGGTGATAGGTAATACTAAAACAAATAAAAAAACAGTTAATATTTAAATAAAACTAATTTGGTATGTTAAATAATTTTTTTCTGGTCATCAAATGAAATATTAACTCATCTTTTTTCCATTAAAATGAAAGTTTCTGAAAAATTAATTAAGGTCTAAAAAATCTATGCAAGTGTAATAATATGCATTCGTTAATTATTATTAAAAATTATGTTTTAATGCTGTAATATATTAAGTTTACTGGTAATAATAGTTCGTGTCTGAGACTTTTAGGTGGATATTTAAGTTTAAAAATCTAAAATTTATATAATAGGTATTGAACAAAAAACAAAAAACACAACAATTCAGAAATTTCTTTTATAAGTAATAACATAATGAATTTCTGCCAAAATAATACTAGAATGTTAAATTGATTTCTCCTTTGATATGATCATTTTTAGTTTGAACATTTCTATTTATGTCCTTGACATCATCATTTTTAGACAAACGCCTTAATATATAATTGACAATAATTTGTACGGCACAAGTCAAAAATGCGACGACGCTCAGCCACTTAAACGTAGCAATACTTCCAATATGTTTAAACATATAACCACCTACAATGCTTCCAATTGGCGCACCTAAGACACAAAAAATCAACATCGTTAATGTATGGTTAAAATGTTTTCAAGTTTATATTATATAGGTATACAAAGTGTAAAAAAATGACCTGACAAATGAAAAAAACTTGGATTAAAATTAATATTTTAAAACTGATTTTCATGTATAATGTATAGATTCTTGCGATATAACAATATAAATTATAACATTTTTTATTTTTATATTTAATACTGAAAATATAAACATTTTTTCAAAAATTCAAAATAGGCATTTTGAAATCTTATTTTTAGAAAAATATGGATGGCAAATTTTTAATTAAGTTAATTACCTACCCAGTTCATTTTTTTAAATCGTTATTCTTCATCTAAATAATTAGTTTCGACAAAACATATTGATCTTAACAAATCTATTAAAAACAACTGTTTATATAATTTTTAGATATTTTGTTAAAGTATTAAATACTAATGAGAAACAGTGTCTTAAACATTTGTTTTATGAATTACAAAATAATTTGCAAAATGCTGTATAATTTTGATGAATTTCGTATCAAATACATTTTCATCCGGGAGGTAAGTACATACTGGTATATTTATACCCAACCCCCAACACGATATTTTTACTTAAGGGTAAATATATCCTAGTATATTATCCCCGGTGGGATAAAAAAAATTCCAGGGTTATCTATTTTACCGCTGGTTAAAATATCCTAGAGTATAATTAGCCCCCAGGGCATGTCAAAATGCCCTTTTATATATTTACCTCTCGGTAACTATAAAATATGATATATTTACAGGGGGAGATAAAAATTATTGAGGAAAAATTATAGAATCCTATGGCACGGGGTCCGACGTCCTTGATATTATTTTAATATGGAAACATGAAAATATATCGAACCTATTCCCGTGTAAGCCGTTCCAACGACTCCTTGGAGTGTTCCTTCAGCACCGGCAGGAGTAATAAGTGCCGCATACGAAATGGCTGCCGAATGAGACATTGCGAACGTTATGCCGCTGAGTAATTCCACTGGTAATTCCCAAAGAGGGTTCTCGATGATCGTGTACAAAGAGAATATAACCGTGAACGTGAAAAACACTACGGACAATATGGTCATGTGGTCCACACGTTTCAGTATGTAGCCTATAATAATATATAATATATAGAAAACAATAGGTTTTATCAGTTTCAACAGTTGTAAAACGGTTTTAAAATAACAGTTTACTGGAAAAAATGAACGACGGCACTTCGCCACCGAAACATTGGATTAGTAAGGCTGTTCCTTGGAGAGTCTTCATCCACGATTTCGTCTCGGGGTGGAACTCATTCGACAAGTCTTCCAGGTACCTATAATAGGTATAATACTGTGATTTATTTATTAGCACTTAAAAAACAAAATTATCGAAGTATATTAATATTATTATTATGTTCACTCAAAATAATTGATCTTCTAAATCACCGGCCATTTGTCGCGTATATTTTATACTCTCTAAATATGAAATAATATTATCATGATACCATACTGGGATAGGGTATTAATGTTTTTTATTTGCATTTAAAGTTTGAATTTGCACACAATTTATCAAATTTAAAATATAATAATTATTAATATAAAAATGTATAAAATGTTCAGTTTTAATAGCTAAGGATTTAAAATTTAAAACAAGGTTCCCCGTAAATTGGTTATATATAAATTACTTTATTCACAATAATAATAATTTCATCAAATATACTTGGTATAATATCATAGGCTGACTGACCGTTTTCGCTTTTAATCGTTTTTCTTATACAATGATATTATATCATTGAATTCAATATTAACACCATCCATTACAGTGGCCCACTTTTAACCTACTATACAGCATAGCCACATCCACTTACTCACCTTTTTTTTATTTTAAACAGTAAATTTAATAAAACCACATAGATCTACTAACTATTTCATTTGCCTATACATATTATAATATGTTAATCTAAAATACGTATATTAAAATAACTATATATTTTTAGTGTTTTGAAAAAATAAATCATATTTCATGCATTATTGAAATTTATGTAATGTGTTGCTTACCAAAATACGAAGTACCATATGAAAGACATAAAAAATCCAATAAAAACAACCCAAAGAAGAAACACGAGTACTTTACCTTCAGTGAATACTTTTTTCACGTCAGAAGCTACAGTTTTAGTATCATTTTCTTGGACAATCTATAATACAGAACAAACAAATATGTAGTTATTTTCATGACATATGTGCAAAAAAATAATTTTTACATGTTTACGAAGTAAGTCATTAGATGATATTCTGCACCATACATTTTAGATAGATTTGTTTCCAATTTAACAAACTTTAAAACGATTTGAGCGAAATCTATTGAGCGTTTAAGTTTGAAAAACAATACTAAAATAAAATATAATCGCAATTTTGCCTTCAAAATTGTTTTGATTGTTATATCCGTATAAATGTGAAGTGCAATTGAATATTATTTACCTAATTATTAGTCCATCATCGCCAGTTCAACATAATCAGTTTCGTTGGCGCAACCCTTACCATAAATAACACGTGAAATAACACAGGTACATAATTTTATAAAAATTCACGTTAACATTAAAATAGGCGAAACAAATTTATTTTGATTATTTTTTTTTTTTTTAATTGTATTTGTTGATTATTAATTATTTTGTATTATTATTAATTATTATTTATAACTATTACTTTATTGATTATTTATAAAATTTTGACCTTGACTCAATTTACTCAATTTATTTAATTTATTAGTATTTTCTATAGTTTAAGGTTAGAAATCTATTAGTTATAGGCTATAACTGTCGGAGGCGATTCCAGTATAATGTGGCGTCATTTCAGTTTTCAATAGAGGGGGCAAAGGTTTTGACCGGCCCTAATGAGTAAAAAAAAAACAGTTCGCTTAGCTCGCAACTACATATTATCTACTTACATTTTTTTATGGTACCCTTTTTATTAACTAGGTAACATCAATTTTAAATATAAGGTAGCAGATATTTTATAAAAACAATTGTATACCTATATCAGTTATTAAAAGTCTACACAGTATTATATGGCAATATTTATGTTAATAAACAAAAATATTAGTAGTTTATTAGGATAACTTCTTTTTTTTTATTTTTGAAAATATATGATATGCATTATCTATTAATTAATTTTTTCTGATTCATCACCTATATAGCCTACACTCTATTATTCTTATATAGGTATACGATATATTTACAAATTAATATTGTCTTAAATTATAATATTTTTTTTTTTTTTTATTGCTTGCTTACCGGATCAAGTTTTATCTGCTTATTAAACATACCAGAAATTACTTTCGATTCTTGAGCAGTTTGAGGGGAAATTTATATAGCCGCACCGATTTTAAAGTCATATTTTGCCCAAATTAAAAGATTAATGTATACACCCTTCCCGAAAAAAATAAATTTTGGTCTGTAAGATTTGTAGATATTATATACTGTACCTTAAGGTTAAACACCACATATATATCTAAAAGGAAACATAGCGATGCAATGACGTAACCTGGAGCATAGTTCTTGTACTCTAGCCCTGCGCTGTAAAAGTCTACACAAGCGCCGGAAGTAATGGCAAACAAACTCCAACCAATCGATCCCCACAACCTTTGTTTTCCATAGTTATTTTTGTCTTCCCCTTAATAGAAAACACAAACATGATTCAACTATAGTGACATTGTACATATTATTTGATAACAGTATCAATAGGTATGATATAGGTAATAATTAATGAAGCCAACTATATTAATATAATGACAAAACATGGACCGATTACAACAAGTAGGTATTAGGGGTTATTCTACGAAAGCTTGTCTGTTTGCATTCTTCGAGACCTATTGGTGTATTCTACTACAACTAATAGGTAAACCTTCTTACCTACCTACACAACAATTTTAGTTTTTTAGAACATAAAGATTAAATGTGTACAATACCAATAATATAGTGACTCGGTGAGATCGGGATAAAAAAAAATATTATACTTCATATTTCCATACAGCTGTTGTTACCTCCCAAACGTAAATAGTTCACACAATTTCACATCAATAATTTAATGAACGAACAGTATTTTTACCTAATAAATCCATACAGACCGTGTCCTCTAAAACAGTTCTCGCCATTCCGACCATTTTGATTAAGGCAATTGTAGTAAAAAACATCCAAAAAAGTGACGACTTGAGCACATCCAAATCGTTCAATTCCTCTTTTGATGTCGTACCAGGAATTATTGATAGTAAACATACCAAAACAAACATGATTATTGAACTCGCAATAAACACCGACCGGCGACATTTGTATTTATCTGTAACGGCACCAACAATTGGTCTTATCAGCAATCCAGGAATTGGTTGTAGCATGAAAATTAAACCAACGATGAATGCAGAATAACCACGTTGTTTTGATATCGTCGTCAAAAATGGAGCAAACGCATAACCTGAACAAGTAAAAAAAAAATAACGATTTAGTCATTGATTGCAATACGAAAATCTCAATATCGCACCAAGCTTTAGAACAAGACTGTCACAACTCCAAATGTATAGTTTCGAGAAAAACCGTTTTGATGTTTAAAACTTTAAGATACCTATTTCATAGAGTTCGTTACTTATGAATTTGAAACTAAAATTTAAATATACTTGTATAAACATACTTTGCATTATGAGACTTTACTATTAAGAGGGCGCTAGTGTGCCACATGGGCATTTGTTGTCTCCGTCTTACAAAAGTACAATATGGCAAATTGTAGGTTCAAAATAAAACGTTTTAGATATACTATGTAATTTATAAAACTATTGTAAACAATTTAGATGTAAGATTATTATTTATGACATCTCGGAGGGCGGAGGCTTTTATTAATATATTTATTAAGAAGCAAGTATTATTACAATTTTTAAACTGTTCATTTTTTGTACATTTTAAAAGAATCATAACTTACTTAAAAATAATAATATCAATAAAATCCTCCGAAATGCTCCAGATCAACTTGTGGGCCGCGAGCAGCGTGGATATTGGGGCATAAACCATATAATATTAAATATTATATATACTTAAATATTATTTTATATTTTTATTATGCACCTCATCAAAATATTTTTGGTTATAATAATATTTATAATATATAATTGGTTCCTGTTTGTCATTTTTATTTATTTAATTATTTTGTTTTATAAACTATATTATAGTTAATAAAGTTAATAAACTATATTATAAACTTAATCGGTCTTTCGTTTTCGTAAATTATTGCTTATTTCGCTATTATGCTATTTCGCGATAGTGGTTGAGTGTTTATGTATCGTTGTGTCTGTTGTTACCACATATCACATACTTTATTTAATTCTTTTATTTCTAATAAACTACGTTCATATATATGTATATTAATTTATATATATGTATAAATATATTATTATATGCATACAAATTTATGTGTGCTAGTATTGGGCCTCAAAGATTTTTTTACAAAATTGATGGTGCCCACAACTAAAAAGGTTGGGAACCACTGCTCTAGATAATATTCTGACCTTTAAATTTCATTAGAGGTAAACTCACTCTAACTATAGAAATTACAGAGTAAAATGTATTCGAAAATGAATTTTATCATTATTAAAATAAATATTCCAATAAAATTGTTATGTAATTGATTGAATATAATATAATGTGATTTACCTATGTCAATCCAACACATAATAAATCCAGCACTTTTGATATTAATAATTATAATGCATATTTTTTTACTTTATGGGTACCTACTTCAAATAAAAATCATTAAATGTTAGAATTTTTTTTTATTATAATTATTACATAATTACATTTTTTGTTTGACTTCTTACCTCCAAATTTTATGTGATAATTGTGGAATTCGAAGAGAAAAACGCAATGTAAGTATATAATAATAAGTGGAGATTAGTGCCTTGAGAATTGGTAATTATGAGCTAGTGGCGATTGGTACCTTTGAATTATAATATTATGAATACGTCCGCGACGATCAACACGCATAGTTTCAAAAAACAATTATAATTGTGGTGATTTTCTCCCACAGAAAACAATATGAAATAACCAGCTAAGACACGATTGAGCATAAAACACCTTTTTTGAGACACGATTGAGACAAATTATCGGCGTATCAAAGGAAATCGGAATTCAAAAGAAAACCTACACGATTGAGCATAAAAAACTCTGCCACGTTGCCATTTTCCATTTTAAGCTATATTATACAAAAATATTTATTTAAAAATTATAATAATTTAAAATATCAAATATCAAAAAAAAAAAACATAATTTCATAGTCAATAAAAAGCCCCATTTCATGAATCTGTTTGATAATGATAATAATAATAATATTAGTTGTAAAATAATAAAATCAAAATATGGTACGAATTAAAAAAAGTACTGCATGGTTTATAAGTCAAGAATACTATAGAGTATGGGTAATCGAACACTGATATTATTTCTATAATAATTTTGAAATTGTATCTTAATTTATTATCTTATTTATATTTTCCTCCGATTTTAAATGTTTAAAACGTCAAAACTTTATTGCTCCGGAACTAATTTATTAATCAAAAATATTGTGTAATAATACGTGAAAATAACAAATTACAAAATTTCGGCCTCTTGAATGTGGCAACATAGCATAAAATATTCTATGCTCAACCGTGTTGCTAAAAAGACGCTTTACCGAAATAACCAAACGGCGTTTTGCACAAGTAATAATACTTGTTTCGCTTCAACCGATTCCTGTTTGGCCGGCCGTGATAAAGGTACGTGAACCGACTATTAGTCGGCGGCGGCCGATTACTCTTCTTCGGTAATCTGCATAGTAATTAATATTATATGATAATAATATTCACAAGCCACGAAATCAAGAATTTTATTATACAAAAATAAAACAAAAATGTGTTTTGTGTGAGCCGATCGGCGACGGAGTGTGCGTGCAATTATTATATACCTACGTGTCACACAGTAGTATCCGTGTATATTTCCAAGTCTCCGTAGCGGCGACATTATATTGTTTAAGTAGGTATGCATAATAATATTGTTTTGTGATAAAAATTCTATTGAATAAAAAAAACTCGGATAAAATTGTTTTGGAATCGACTGAATATAATATAATATTAGGACATTCGTGTAGCAGTTGATCTACCACCTCTTTTTAGGTGATATACCGTATTATACAAGGTGTAGTTGGTGATCTACAATTATTATTACCTGTTATTATATTATATTATATTAATATACTATTATTAGGTATACGCACATTCCACAGAAGTACAGTATTGCGGTGACATTTAAAATATGACTACAAGTCATTAGCAATGTTGCTGGATGGGTTGGTTTCAAATTGTTCGTTGGTCGGAGTTTGTCTATAATGCGTGCACCTGAATTTTATAAAATAATTGTTGATGAAAAATCATCTGTATATTTTTTACTACATAATAATTTACTTCCAAATGACAGTGAAACTCCAAATTGAAAAGAAAATGTGATTCCGAAACAACATTGTGATCAGAAAAAAACGACTGGCTTCTGGTGAACAACGTGAGTTCCAAAGTTTAATATGCGTTAAAAAAAGATGTCAAACATTCCAGTCTCTGCTTCAAGACCATACATTTTTTACTTATATGGATTTGAATAATAAATGTAGTTCTAAATTGTAGCTGGGACAAATTTTAGAGTTAGTATTTTACTGGTCAGAAGACATGAGTGGTAGACTGGTACAATTTATGCCGCGATGTGTGTTGTAGTATTTATGAAAATCGGAAACTAATGGGTGGACCTAATGAATGTGTTCAAATTGACGAGTCATTTCTGAGAGGAAAAAGGAAATATTATAGAGACAGGATTCTACTGGGTGATCATAGAGGTGCTATAATTTAACGAACGATGATAGTTCAAACTCAGATTCTGATTCTGAAAATATTTCTCCTAATAACAGGTATAGAAATTATGGCAAACGAGTAGAAGGACCTTTTGTTTTTGGCATAGTATAGGGCGTTATTAGAATAAAATTGTATTTTGATAATTATTTAGATAACATTTTATTCGAATAAATTATTATTCAGATGATTTTTCCACAAACATAATTATTAGAATAATACAATTTTCAAACATTATTCTCGAGTAAAAAATTACCCGAATAATTTTTGTTCATTTTGTTTGGGTAAACATAAAGTTGGTAATCCTCAAGTTAATCCTCAAAATACTTTTTTTAAATTATTAAATGATACCAAACATGTTTACTGTAATTGAAATTATTATTATATTTGGCTAATTATTTTTTATTTTAATTAACACGTAGATCAACTCCCCCCCCCCCTCTCCACCTCCTTGGTAGATCACCTGCTACACGAATGCCAATATTAGGTATGTCAAACACATAATATTATATCCAGAACCTTTGATATTAATAATTATTATACACACTTATTAGTTATTAAGCTTCAAAAAAAAAAAAAAATCCTTTTTAGATTCTGAGTGAAACGATGAATGTATTGATTTTAAAATGATGTGTGTTTTTTTTTTTTATTTTTGTGTCTGTCATCACGTTTTAGGACAGTAAAAGTGCTTGGATTTTCTTCAACAATATCTTTTCTGATAGGAAAGTGAATCTAGTTGGTACTTTGGGGGGTCAAAAGTATAAATTTCACAGTAGTTTTCACAAGCGCCGGGAAAAACAACATTAAAATTAAGGAAAAACGGGAATTTTTACCCAAAATCGGTTTTCCAAAAAATCGATTTTGGTTTTTGGTGTAACTCTAAAACAAATGAAAGTATACACATGACATTTTCACTGGTTGTTTATATTCGCATTTTATATATACACGATAACATTATCAAAATATTTTGATTTATTTTGAACTGTTTAGGGACATTTTCATTTTCCGTTTTTTTTTAGTTTTTTTTCTAAAAATATCAATACAATTTTATTTGTTGGTTGCGAAAGCTTGGAAATTTAATAGAAGGCTCCTAGTATATTGTTTCAAAGGCAGATGAAAAATATTAAAAATCCTTAGTCACAATTTTTTTTATAAGCATTTAAAGTTCAAAATTTGACAAAATATGGAAAAATCACGAAAATTAGCAAATTATATTGAGTTAAGAATTCGTAAAAAATTTTCTTTTTAAATCTAAGATTTGAAAATGTAATACAAGATTCCTTATAAGTTATCTACCTTTATCAAAAAAAAAAATGTCTATAAAAAAGTCAAATTAATTTTTTATGAGCGTTTTAAACTCAAATTTTTACAACATTGGATATTCACTCGATTTCTCATGTAGCGATTTCCTTATTTTGTTGTAATTCAAAAACGAATAACTGTAGATAAATGAAAATTTCACTGAATGTTTAAATTAGCATTTCCTATATACCATACAATTTTGAAAATATTTTGATTCTTTTTGAGCTATTTACGGACATTTACCGCTTTCAATTTTTTTTAGTTTGTTTTTCTATAAATATCAATAAAGTTTTATCTGTTTTGCCAAAAATTGTAAAAATTTAATACAAGGCTCCTGATATATTGTAACAATATCAGTTGAAAAATATTAAAAATACATATGCACAGTTTTTTTTTTATAAGCATTTAAAGATCGAATTTTGACAAAATTTATCAAATCTCGAAAATTATCAACCATTGCAATTAATAAATTATAAAATATTCAGTTTTTATATCTAAGGATTGCAAATTTAAAACGAAGGTTCTCATAAATAGTTCATACTGTAACCATTAAATCTAAAAAATATATGAACACAGTTATTTTTTACAGACATTTTAAATTCAAATTTGGACGAAATTACATATTAAAAAACCTAGAATAACTATTTTAGTTATTTTGTTGTGATTGAATAATATTATTCGTGGGTACTTGAAACTTTTAAAGTGTACTATTATATATCTATTATAGTATCACGGTTTTTGTTGATGTATAATGCGTTATTAGTACCTAATGGATATTATGATATGATTAATTTGGAATTTATTATAGGTACCTATTATAGGTCAAATTTTGGTTTAGTACCATAGATATGTATATAATATGTCTTATACCTAGACTGACATACCGTCTCCGCTCAGAATCGTTTTTCTTACACAATGATATTATATCGTTGAATTCAAATTTAATATCATCCATTATACAGTGACCCACTTGTAACCTACTGTACAGCACTTGCCCACCTTTTTTTATTATAATTATTACATTATCATATATTTTATTTGACTTCCTACCTCCATTATATTGTTTGTGATAAGTCTAGAATTTGAAAAAAAAAACATTCTACTTTCATCCAAAAATATTAACTGATATTTACCTAATTGTAATTCAATTTTCTATATCATGAAGTAATCATATCAATATATTTTTATATTTAATTATTTCGTATAAATTAAAAAAATATCTCATCACTATCACGTAATTCATAGTTTATTGTGAGTGTTGAATATTTTTCAAATACGCATATTAGGTATCCGCATAATATAGCAGAGTGGTAAACATGATTCTACACAAAGTCAGAAATAATAACGACACGATACCTATTACCTATAATAATTTAATGAACATAATATTATTATAATGTGATATGTAGGTGTATGTTGCACGACTAAATAGGGGTGACTTATCCAACGTGCGATATTATTAATTATTATAATACAATATTATTTGTGACTGAGCATAATATTATCATTCTATTGTTGCTTTAAAACGTTTGTGTATAGGTATATCACTATAATATTCTTACCTCCAATTCCTAAAAAATAGTGAATTTTCATCAACAGGAGTTTTCTATTGACCTGGAAGTAAGTCATTATTCTGGTTGTCACTCGTACACACTACACAGCAAGTTACAGTTATTATAATAGTTATTATTATCGTGTGTATTAAATATTTTAATGAACTGTCACGTGTGTCTAATATATTAAATGTAAAAAAAAAAAACCAATCCTAGAATTATTATTATGGTGCCTGTGTTTCTGGAGACACAGGCAAGACAGACCTAGCCCGGATGTTACTCGTCGTACACATCCATGGTGATGATGATCACATAAAAATTCAATGTTAAACAGCTGAACGAAAAAATAAATAAAATGTGGTAACTGGTAACCGAACCACTCGATCGTGTGTCGAATCATTCGTCTTGGCGCGTGCGGGTAAATGTGGAAAAAAAATTAAGGGGCCTCGATTTGGCATTGATTTTAAGGAGGATCATTTAGGCTATGTGTTAGTCGTAAATTATTATTAGTGTGTGTTGTCGGGTCAATTGTAGCTGTATGGAGGGGTCCCGCACGCACTCGCAATCACACGTCAATTAGTAATATTTGTGATAGTGAAAAAAATTTTATTTTTCACTCAAACATACGATTCTAATTCCAACAATACGTCGCAACGATTACCTCGATTTACATTCTGACAAAATATTCTTTTTTTCCAGAACACGTATGTGGGATCGATCGAGGCACATTTTTAAAATTGTACTTATAGTTTATTACGTCATGTTTAAGGTTTACATTTTAGATTTTTTTGAATTGCTTACAATTTTTATTGCACTTTAAATTACAAAAATCAAAAATGTTGCTTGATCGTCCCCTATTGTATATATTACGGACAGTCCGATAATTTTTTCAGAACGGAAATCATGATAATTGTTGACACGTATCGTTGGAATTAGAAACAGTAGTTTCTGACAAAAAAAAAAGACGTGTTGGGAAGGAAGGCCGCCGACAATACACGTACATTGTGTATATTTTGTTGTATTGATGTTACTACACATAATATTATTTTGTTTGGTTCGGTGTAGCGCGGCCTGTTGTAATAATCCTCAGTACCTATTAGTATTTAAAATAATAGTTATAATTATGTATTTGAATTCACTGACATTCGATGACTTTGCTAAAAATCCATATTATAGGAAAGCCTGTGCACAGATCAAAGGTGAAGACTATAAATAGTGCACACCTTTAGATTGTACGGACGTCATCATAACAAGGTGCTCTGCTTAGCATAAATAGGAAAGTCATAGACAAAGTAAGGGAGTCGGAGTCGAATACTTGTTACGACAAGAGTATGTACTTTTAGTTCAGAACGGACGATTGCTATTATTACCTAATAAAAATACTTTGAGTATACGTAAATTTGTGTATCTTTATTATACTTCCAATTCAATTTCGAGTGCGGAAGCGGACACGTTACAACAGTGTATACTGTTCTGAGTGTATGCATTAACCGGTGTCATTAGTTCCCGGATGGGTGACCACCCTATATTTTGAGTGAAAAATCCTTGCCACCCATACACACACGTGTTAAAAAAATCTACAGTAGCCAACCCCCCCCCCCCCCAAAAAAAAAAAAAAAATTATTTTTGTTCCCGGTTTGTAAGCTAAAAAAAATGCTTTTCCCGGCAGCCGATCGTATGATCATGTAGTCGGCTCGAGTATACCTGTATAGACAACTCTATACAAATGTAGGAAAAAGAAGCCACCGAAAAAAAGCCAAGAAAAAAAATCAGTGGAAAAAAAAGCCACGGAAAAAATAATCCAAGGAAAAAAATCCACGAAAATAATAGTAATGAATGTATTGATTTTACAATGTGTATTTTTTTATTTTTATTATAAATTTAATAAACTTACTTATTTAATATTTTTAACTTCTACTTTTCTGGTGGGAAAATAATTAAATACAAATTGTATACTATATAATAATATAACTTAATATTGGTTCATACTGCAACATGTACTTTTGAAAAAATCACCCTGTACAAAGTATATAATAATCAAAAAAATGTAAAATAAGGTTTATAGAGGTATAGTATAACTTAATATTGATTGTAGTTCATACTGCAACAGTGCGGCATGTAGGTAAAAAAAAATCACCCTGTACATAGTAGATACGTTAAAAATAACTAGGTGTAAGACATAAATCAATCAATTAATTTCAAGATAATATGTAGTTTATCCACAAAGTATCATTTTATTTTTGTCCAATTATGACATGTTGGAAATTCCCTTAAAACCGTTTTTCAGTCTCACATATCCATCTCCAGAGATAGCATATTATGTCTTATTTTTCAATATTTAAATTTTTATTAGTAATTAGTGTAACAATGGAAATAATAAATTCTAATGAAAATAATAATAAATTATGTTATGAGGGTTATATGTACGTTCGAAAACATACAGGTAAAAGTCGTATTACGTGGCGTTGCAGTAAAGCAACCATGCTCAAATGTCCAGGGACCATTTATACAAATATTGAGAAATCAAAAATTCTTGAAATTGGAACATCTCATATTTTTGTATATAAACTTTGTACTATTTTACTATTTTATAACTAAAAACTTTTTAATGTTGAATAATAAATTATAACATAACCTTAGCGGCTTATTAGCTGTGTATCAACAATTTTATATTGTGTGCACGATTTAAGATAGTATATATTATACAGTATGGTTACATGTTAAACATTTAAAAAAAAATTATTTAAAAATTATTAATTTATAATTATAAAATTTGGCTTTTTTTCCGTGACTTATTTTTTACGTGGATTTTTTTCTCGTGGATTTTTTTTCCGTGGATTTTTTTTCCACGGCTTTTTTTTCTGACTACCACTCTATACAGCCCACCAAGGTGGTAAACCGAAAACTGGAACTGTCATCGGTACTCAAGGTTTCCTAAACTTTTTTAAAATAAAAAATAATAAAAAATGAACGATTTTTTTTTTTACCAACAGCCAACGGTAGACCACTAGTAACTTGGAAAGTTTTGATATTTTGATATCCAACTTTCTAACCTAGTAGCGAGGAGTAAATACAAATAAAGTATCTAAATGTCCAATTGTGTTTACGCATTTTTATCAAATAAAATTTCACTTAAAACTCGTAGTTTACGAATGGTGATTTCTTAGATCCTCGTTATTAGGATTATAAAAATTAAGTATTTACCTACTCAATTATTATGTGAACGCATTTTTATCAAATAAGCAATCTTGTAAAAAGATACTTTTAGTTTGTATTTAAATAGAGATACAAATACATCAACTTAAAAAGTATTTAAATAGTATTTAAAGTACTTTTTTCAATAAGTATTTAAGAACAAATACAAATACTTAGAAAGTATTTAAACACAAATACTTATTTTAATACATTTGTTTTAAGTTTTACCTTTGGGTTCAATACTTTTTCTCTGATATTTTAACTTTAAATTTGACCATGAGATCAAACTCATTCAAACTGTACATATTAATTATTATTATATAGTTAATACTTAATAGTTCATATATTATAATGCATGTTCCATATTCTGGTACTAACCAAGGTACCTATAATTATTAATTGTATGATAAGTTAATAATCACCGAATGATCGTTTTAATTATTTATTGTATGAGAACTAAATATAGATATTATAAGAACCTTTATCTCCACAACAAACCTAGCTTCTGGAGAAAATAATTTATATATAAATGCTATATTTCTGTAGTGAAAATATTTATATTAATGTATATATTACGTATGTATACTATTCAATTATTCAACAGGAAAAAAAATAAGATCATAGGTAAAAGTAAAGTCGTAAACCGAATCAGCTGATCGAGTTTCACTTCATTATTGTTCTATGTTTATAGTTTGGAGTTTCAAATAATTCACATCACAATAAACTAATATAGGCTTCAATGAAAAAAAAACAATAATATTTTGCATTTTAGGAGGCTATGTCGGGAATAAACTTACTAAATTTCAATGATATTACTCATGACTATATTATTATTTAGTCATGATATTACTTTGATTTCTGAGAAAAAAGATAATAAATAATCATATATTATTAAAAAAAAATCGATAAAGTATTTAAATAAAAGTATTTGATTTTCAAATACAAATACGTCCAAAACCGTATTTAAAATACTTTCCAAATAATTTATTCAAAAAGTATTTAAAAAGTATTCTAAATACAATAAAAATATTTAAATACATTTACTCAAATACTTTTACTCAAATATTTTACAAGACTGCAAATAAGTACAAAAAGTCGAAAAATATTACAAAATGTATGAAAACGTTATTATATGGTTCACACTTGATAATATCGTGCAATAAATTTATTGTGTATTTTATATTTGTTTTACCTATGGAAGTCAGTGGTATTTTTGGATTCGTGTTTTGACCATTTTAGTGGGTATAAAATATAAAATTAATAATTTCACATTATTATTGTCGGTGATTTAAAACGTATAGGTACTAAGTACTTATACTGAGTTACACCTAATAATAGTATATTTTTCTGTTATGGATATAATAAATTATTATTATTATTATATTATATTATAATCCCACCGGGCACCGAACAGTTCGTTGTCAAATGAGTGCGTGTTGCGCACTATAATACATTTATATCTGTTTATATTTTATAATATCCATAATAAATATTACATCTATGTAAAACATTTTAAATGTTATTTGTGATTATCATTTATATACGACGGTCGATGATAGACAATAGACATCCTGCAATGTGTACTATGTTGGTAGTAGGTATTGTCGGTACTAGGCCAAGTGGGATGATAAACAGTAGGCGTACAATTACAGAAAAATATCTATTTGTTTTCAAAATAACACCAAAAAGAAGGTGGGTTTTCACTTAAATTTTAAAATCAGAATTTTCTATTTTAAGAGATGTTCACTAACCTATTTACATATTACAAATACCAAAATCAATCATCTGAAATTGGCGTTTAGATACGCCATACTTTTGGTTTACTTTTTTTAGAACCGACTGAAGTCACTGAATGCTTTGTCGAAGATTTTATGTCAAATC